CAGACCCTGGTGACCCAGCGCATGAAGCGCTCCGGAATGCGCTGTGGCGGATCGCCGGCGGACAGGCTGTGCTGACCTTCCGCGCCCTGATCATATCCGCTCGCTTCGACCGGGCATGGAGGCCTCATGCGGGCAACCGACACAACGGCAACGACAACAAAATCCTTTGCCGTCATCGCCATCCGCTGATAGAAACTCAATGAACGAAACCATGTAATCAACAGCCATACGAGGATCGCCATATCCAAAGTACATCAAAGAGCTCCAGCGTCTTCCGATTCTAAGAACGGCTCTGCTACTTAGCCAATTCTTGGGGTTTATCGCACCGGCCAAAGGCAAGCTGTAACCGTCCTAAAGATCTATCGCATCCCGATCGATGCACTGATCCCACAACCCGTCTCTGAACATCCCTGGAAAAGCAGGCAAACGGTGGCTACCATCGAAACACACACGTGAGCGCTGTCATCTCGTCTTGCTATTATGTGAACAGTACTTGGGTATTGCCTCAGCGATCAATTTTGAACTTCATTCCCGACGGAAAATGAGATGCTGGCCTGTGCATAGGGGGAAGAAAAAGGACTTGCGCTCCCGGAAAACGATTCAATCTTCCACCTAAGATGGCTTCGTTTTCCATTTCCACAACGGAACGAAAGAACTCTCGGAGAAGGGAACCACTTTTTTAACTACTTTACGTCATCTTTACTTACTTTACTCTACTTAACCTCGACTACGCATGGGTTAAACGACAGCGCACATGTCTAAGCTTTACGGTTCCTGAAGCTTCGGTTCCTAACTTACGGTTCAACAGCTCAAATGCCGAATCTAGTTGGCATAGTTGCCGTTGATTTTCTATAAGTTTTCCTTTGATTTACGTAATTCCTTCACTTCGTCGGGCCGCCGCTGAAAGATATCATTCCAGTAAGCATCGGTATGGGGCACCTCTATCTGTGACCCTTAAGTCTCTAAAAAATTGATCGAATAGGCTGGCACTCAATTGGCCGCACTTCTCCAACACAGCAATCGTAAGCGTTTGCCTTTTTTGCAAAGGCAAGCCTCCTTCTCATCCTCGCTGGCTCCGGAATCTCTCATAGAGGCGTACGCTTTAGAGCCTCGCCCGCCCTGCTTCCTTCTCGCAATAAAGCAGCTTGCGTTTTGGCCCTAGCGGCTTCCCAGTCGGCATTAGAAAACTTGCAGAGTGGAGTCACACCTCTTTCCAAGCAGTAATCTGGGCAGGGTCCCATCGAATCCCTATCGAGGTTCCAGTATCAGCCAGAGCATAGGCTTCACATACTTCGATGATATGTCGTCCGCAAAGACGGGCCACAGGCGGATAGGACTTGTGGCAAACACATCAGGCATCGAATGCAGCCAAAGCCAGTCCTATTACGCCCTCGCGACTGACTCGCCTTTTAGCTTCGCAATTCTGCGGTCCCCCATCTTCATTTTCATTTTTCAACCTTTGCAATGGCCTGGTTCCGGAGACTGATTGAAACACGCTCTGACCATTTGGTACCCACACACCCCGTTGGTTACCACACACACACACACTAGTCGCGAGACTAGTATCTCAAGGTCTAAAAATTCAATGCTAAAATTTCTCAGGTTTGCCGCTAGCACATGAGGTGTCCGGTTTAGGTAGCACAACGAGTTGTCCGTGGTTTTGGTGGTCTCCTGTCTCCGTGGGGAGGGACCGCGATTATCCGGACGACGTTCTACGGACGCATGATCAGACGTTTCAGATGTTCTGGGCACGGGAACGACGGCGCTGTTCAAAGTCCGGCTGGTTGGTGACTTGTCTGCGTGATCTGGAGCGAGGGGTTGAGGCATGAGCGACTTCAAGGGACGTCACTTTCGGGGGGAGATCGTGCTTTGGGCCGTGCGCTGGTACTGCCGGTATCCGATCAGCTACCGCGACCTCGAAGCGATGATGACCGAGCGCGGCGTCGCGGTCGACCACTCCACGATCTATCGTTGGGTGCAGCGTTTCGCGCCGGAGATGGAGAAACGTCTGCGCTGGCAGTGGCGCCGGCCGCAGTCGCGGAGTTGGCGCGTCGACGAGACCTACATCAAGGTCCGCGGCAAGTGGGCGTATCTGTACCGGGCGGTGGACAAGCTCGGGAACACGATCGATTTCTATCTCTCGGCGACCCGCAACACCAAGGCAGCGAAGCGATTCCTCGGCAAGGCGCTGAGAGGATTGAAGGAGTGGGAGCAGCCCGAGGTGCTCAACACCGACAAGGCGCCGGCCTATGCCGCTGCCATCGCGGAGCTGAAGGCCGAGGGCAAGTGCCCGAAGGACACGAGGCACAGGCAGGTGAAATACCTCAACAACGTCGTCGAGGCCGACCACGGCAAGCTCAAGCTGCTGATCCGGCCCGTGCGCGGGTTCAAGACGATGAAGACGGCCTACGCCACGATCAAGGGCTTCGAGGTGATGCGCGCGCTGCGCAAGGGCCAGGCCGGGATGTTCGCCCTCCAGGGCGGCATTGTCGGCGAGGCCCGGATCGTCGAGCGCGCCTTCGGTCTCGGACCGTGCGCCCTGACCGAGGCCATGGCATGCTACAGGACCGTCTGGCCAACGCAGAATCATAAGGTGAACAGGAAAGCCCCCTGATCGCGATCGCCCCTTCGCCAAGCTTGCAACAGAGCCTCCAGACTGCACGCGGCCGGCGCCAGGGCCCGGCGCTGGCGTGTCGTTCGTGGCTACGACCGTGGCGGCTCGACGATGATGCGCCCGCGCCCGCGCCTGAGCAGGTAGCCGCCGCGCGGGATCGAGAGCGTGCCCTGCTGCACCAGCGGCCAGAGGGTATCCACGATCACCGCGGCGTTCGCATCGGCTGTCGTGTCCCGCCGCCTGTTGCGAGGACAGCCAGGCGGCAAAGCGCTGCGCACCGATCTCGTCGCCGACGGATTTGCGCAGCGCGTTGAGCTGCGGCGCTGTCCCTTGGTGAGCGTGCTTTCATCGATGTGGTCGAAGGTGCCGTGGCCATAAACTTTCCTCCCGGGGCTGCCGTCCAATCCGAATTAGGGCCAGCTTTATCAAAGAACCGATGAACCGGGTTTTCTAGCGCCCGAACGCGCCAAATCCTCGGGCCGAGCGTTCGGGCGACAATAATGGTGCGGTAGCGCTGGCGGCCGAACCGGGTCGGCGCTGGCCGCGGGAGCGCCGGAGCATTGGACGCGTCGTAGCCGTCCCCTCTGCGAGCGGTGGAATTGGTGATCCAGTTCGTCGCAACAGCGCGTCGCAATCGGTGTGATGGCCGTATCGGGCGTCAACGAAGACCGCGTGCGCCCGTCTGATGATCTGCCGTCCTCGTGGTATGTGCGACAGCGTGCGCTCTTGTTTCGTTCAGATTCCTGACCTGCATGGCGACCGGTTCTGTTCCAAACTGGCAATGGCCGCCGACGATCAGACCCGGGTGTTGAATCCCGTCGGTGAGACCCATTCGGGCTGTGCCCCGACAGGCAGAGAGAGGCCGCGGCTCAATGCCCCGGTCACAATGACAGCATCTTACCGTGATCCGCGCGTATGTGGTGATCAAGGCCGACGACAGAGCACAAGATGTTGTCCGGTTGGATGTCAGTTGTGTCGCGTAAAGCGCTTCTCTATTCGGGTTGTCTAAGTGAGGACTTCTCTATGGGCTGTCAGAGTCGAGACGATGATCCGTCGAGGCGGCGGATCTTTGTAGCAATCGTGCCAGGTCGCGGATAGTGACACGTATCGACAAAATAGTCGATCATGCCGAGCCGTGCGTACGCAGCACCTCGCGCGGCAATCTGGATCAGCTCCGTGCACCCTCGCCAAGTATTGCGACACCCACAGCTAGTGGGCTCGAGTGAAAGGTCAGCTTCAGAATACCCTCCGCGTCGCCGAGGATCTGGCCAGCGGGAATCTCGTTAGGCCGCGCTGCGCCGAGCTTCGTTTTTTGAGGGACTCCTATCGACCTGCGTCGGTCAGCTCCTCCTCGCTGCGCTGCGACGACGACGGAGATCTCCGCGGTATCGTGTAGATGCCGTAGGCAGCAGGTTGGGAGCTGTTTGTTTTCCCGCCGCGCGCGCCGAAGGTGCGATGACAGCGATACGGCCTGCTCTCCCTCGACGGTGACGCCAGGCTCGGAGCCGATCACGTCTGCTGACCGGACGCGTATGATGTTTTGGCGGAACCCATCGGTCTTGAAGGACTCGTTGACGCGATCAAGAGCGCGACTCATGTCACCTTAAGAAAAGCCCGGCGCGCGCACTCAAATTTTGCGATCGTCTTCGTTGGCGCCGGTCGAGCCGATGCTGTAAAGGCGGAATCCGCTAGGATCTGCTGTGCCACACGGGCAAGATGCCACCCGAAACTTCTCGCCTCTTTCGCGGCCGTCAGTGAGTAGACCGTCTCGAGACTGCGGACCTCTTCGCCAAGGCGTCAGCGTCATGCGGTGTTGCCGCATCTGTGTAGGACCAGCGTATCGCTGATCTCGAGTCGATGAAGCTCAGCCAGTCGTGGTCGCTTGTCGACAACGTGTGACCACTCGACGCCGAGCGCTCGCGAAAATGGTCGCGGACTCAAGGCGATGGACGCCCGCGCCGATGACAATCAGCGAACGCGGCAAAAGAAACAATAAAGATACAACGCACAGAGACACAGCACTCTTAAGGGTCTAGGATATCGTCGCTGGTGAAGATCTGCTGACCATCGAAAACATCGACACTGCGCTCTCGACCGCGTCGTCGTCGTGCGACGGCGATGTACGATTGGTCGGCGGTGACTTCCCAGTTCCCCGCCCGTCGAGTGTCGGAAAAACGCGTCAAGGCCAACCTGTGCGGATCGACGAAGGCCGCTTCTGCCTGCAGCAGTTCGCCTGGTTGCGTAGTACTGCTGGCGGTTTCACGTCGAGCTATCGTGGCGACGACGTTGTCGTGCGGACAGCAGGTCCGCCATCGAAGTCTTTCTTCACCCGGTAGAGGCACCGTAGATATTGCGCTCCCGGTAGCGGATAGCATGCTAGCACTGCCTCCCGGAGCCGTCTTGGCTTCGGGCTGGTGCCGGTGTTGATGCTGCGAGGTACCGCCGAGACACGGACCGGCTTGACGTATCCACCACCAGCGAGCGTTTTCCTTTTGCGCGAAGCTTCGCCGCCTTGTATCTCTGCTGCGATGCCGGCGGGTCCGATCCTCCCGATGACCCGCAGCTCGAGTCGCGCCGCTCGACAGGTCGCGCACACTCCTCTCGCAGTCTCCTCGCCATGCCTATCCCTGCGCGTCACCGACCGGAAGCTCTCCGACTGCAGAGCGATTATTTTAAGCCCGGGATTGTCCCCGGGTGGCACTCTTCACAGTCCAGGTTGAGCAGTCGTGGCTCGGATACATCGCTCAACGGTCATGGGTCACGATGGGTTGTGCCACCAAGATCATGCCCGACAACACGAAATTGAGAGTGAATGGGACATGGTGGCATTCGATATTGCCGGTCGGGCCGTGTCTCGGACACACCGGTCCTGTCGTCTTCACGCATGAGGGACGATCGTGTCGTCATGTTGGGAGGGGCGTCGTTCTGAGCCGATCGATTCGGCGGAGGATGTCGGCGAACAGGTCACGAGGGATAGCGACCTCGGCCATCTGGAAGACGATGTAGCGACCGTGGCGGACGATCTTCGCGCCGATCTTGACGAGCTTTTCGCGCAGCGTGGTCAGTGACCACTGCTCCACTGCATCGGGCAACACGAGTGTCCGCATGAGTTAATGGCTGGGCGACGCGACGATCTCGTCCCTCGACTGGGCGCAGCGCGATCTCGGCGCCGAGACGCGATTCTCGGGACTCCGTCGCCATAGCCCTCACCATGACCTTCTCTGTGGCGTGCACCGCCGGCGCGAGTAGTCCACACGCCGGTAAGCGCACCAGTGCCGTCGACGAGACCCACTGGCCGCACATGCTCGCAGGCCTCGAAGGGTAGCGGCCGGGCAGATACGCGCAGATGCGTCGCGATCGCCCAGCAGCGGCCGCCGCGCTGCTCGCCTTGCTCCTCAGCGCAGTCGAGCTCGCTCCAGCAGCGCGCCGTCAGCGCTCGTTCAGGACCGATCAGTCCATGCACCTTCGGGATCGGCACCATGAACCGGCGCCGCGCGCCGTCTTTCACATGGCCTCGATTCATCACCTTGTCGTTGCCTCGCCGGGCCGGCCGAACGACGGGTTGCGCAGTGAAAAGGGAGTTAGTGATGGTGACAGAGTGACAAGGACCGTGGAAACGCTAGGTAGTTCCTGAGGCGCTCTGGCCAGGAGGGCGGCGGACGCGCGATGGCACAGGGCGACCTGTCGAGCACGGCATGCCTCCAGCGCCATTGAACGGCCGCCCCCGCCCAGGGTACCGCGTTGTTCGGCGTAGCATTTGACCCCCAGTATCACGAACTTCAATAGCTGTATCGCGCCGATCCGGCGCGCAACACACGCAGCCACGAAAACAACACACCAAGGGCTGCTTGTCTCACGGACTCTGGCCATGGTCTTCAAGCTGATCACCACCGCCAGCAAGACCTGGCGGCGGCTCATGGGAAACAATCAGTTGCCCAAGGTCATCGAAGGTGTGAGATTCAAAGACGGTATGCAGATCGACGAACCAAAATCGCGCCGCCGCCTGATCACGCCGTCACCCAAACTCGGCATAACTTCCTGGGCGAAGGCCAGGACGCAGCGCTCCCCCTCGCGCGGAGGCCGTGGGCGGCGGAGCGGGGAGTGTCGACCCCGAAGGTTCGCGCTCAGAGGCCGCTGAATAGTCCCCGCCAACTGGTTTAGTAGTGCTCCGCCAGCAGGCGCGGAGCGCGGCCCATCGCGCATCGCCCGCGGGTTCTGGGTGCGCCGGCCAGTGGCGGAACTCGGGCGCGAAGCGACTTCCGCCTCGTTCCGCTACGGAGGAGGCGTGTCACGTCCGTCGCAAGCTCCTCTCCCACCGTACTCGTCGCCTGCTGGCGAATGTCGGGCGCGGCCGGCCCTCCCGGCGCCGCATGGCGTCGCGGGTCGGCCATTGCATGCCGACGACGAAGTGGACGCGCAGCCGCTCGGCCCGCGGCGCGGCGCTCACGGCCCCTCGAATGCTCAGCGCCGGCGTGCGCCGCGCGGACTCCCGCCCGTATGCAGGGCAGGGCCGGGGTCGATCCCGTCAGCGCAGCGTCAGAGTTGGAGCCGGTGAGCAGGTAGCCGCTGCCGGGCGAATCCGAGGGCTTGAACGGCGTCTCCACCACCTCGGCGTCCACCGGCGCGTCGGCGTACTGCTTGTCCAGCTCCACGGTGAGCCTGGGCACATCACTATGGCCGATCGGGCAGCATGGCGAGGCGCGATGTTGGAATTCTGCGCCGGCGACCGAAGGCGCTGGTGACGTAAGCCCACGTCGGTCGCCCCGTCGCGCACGATTGTAGAAGTCCGCCGGGTACCAGGTGATGGGCTTGCCCCCCATGCGGAGCCCCACGAGCTTTCCGCTCCACCCCTCGTCCCTGATTCCTGGCGAGCGCCTCCTGCCGATGAAGTCGCCTTGTCGAAGTGACCTGCCAGCCGAGGCCTACCTGATTAGGGGTTGGTCTCGATGTCCATGTCCTGCCCGCTTCAGGATTCCGGGCCCTCGATGCGGCGGATATGC